CTGGAAAATCAACACCGGTTGCATAGTGTACCTTTAAATTAGGTGTATTTACCCTTAATCTGAGCAGGTAAATAAGATGATCTGCCAATGGAATTAGTATTTTTACTCTTAAAATTGGATAATTAGATAATATGCACTTTAAGGACAGTATAATTGTTCTTTTCTTATTTTAAATGTAAATGTTCTTGTTCCATTGGCAAAGTGTCTCACTTACCTCCTTAATTGAAGAAAAAATGCACTTATTTTAAGAAAAAAAAATGACTTATTGAGATTTTAATTTTTTTTGCAGTGCATGTTCTGCTCTTACAGAGACGAATGAAGCGTTGATGTAGTCTGACGTCTCTCCAGCCGCCGTGGACAGACGCACCCGCCACCTCTCAGCTACACAAACAGAGCAGAGATCATGTTGGGATGCTTTCCCGGGATCAGCGGCTGAAATGGGAGCGTCGAGGCTTCCCGCTGACTCACCGGGAATCACAGAGACATCTCTGTTCTTGGTGGAGTTGATGTCCTGCAGGGCGGCGGAGAAGTCTGATTTCCTGGCCTCGGTGTGACACACCAGCTGTGGAAAACAGAACGCAGACAAACTTCAGGCTCTTCTAGCTGACAGAGGCTAACAGCTTAGCCTGTTTCTTGCATTTTCAGTCCTCATGATCCAGGAGATCTGTAGATTTCCCACATTTCTATCTGGAAATCGATGAGGAAAAGATTCATAATGTTTAAAACATTTCATTTCTTGGTGTGAATCAGTGTCGAAACTCGTCTCCGCCCAGTTTACACGTGTAAATGACCCAATTTCTAATTTGGCTTCAAGAAATATTACAATGTGAAATTACTAGAACCTATTATTTTTGCCTCCATTATTTTTATGAATGTATAATGCCTTACATTTTACTTAAACGTAGTAAAAGAAGGAAAGATAGTTAAAAATAATACACTTTAAGTTGAAGGACTTGTATCCTCCGAAGTAGCACAAGGTTTGTGCTTATGTGATAAAACATGTTTAAATGTATTAATACTTCCATAAAATGAATTGGTTCCTAAACGTTGCTTCACGCAGACAGTTAACTGATTATTAACCATGTTTAGAAACTGTTGGGGAATTTGTGCTGCTTTTTTCAGGAATCCCAGATGAATGTGTGTTCGTGTGTTTAGAGATGATTTTCTGCGTGTGAAGAACCTTTTTCTGTTTATTGTTGAGTCTCCGTAGCTTACGTTTAAGATGCTAATTAATACGTAGTATTGGCTAGTACCGTAATCCATTCTTTCTCCTCTACTCTGCCTAGCTCTTGGTTTACAGGATTGTTGTTGCCAAGATTCCAATAAACAAGAAAACCTTCAGTCAGTTGCCCTTCCTCTATGGGAGATGCTGTAACACATTATACACTCACCGGCCACTTTATTAGGTACACCTGTCCAACTGCTCGTTAACACTTAAAGGAATAGTACAC